TGTGTGCACACATGTACATCTACACAATTGTGTACATCAGTTATGATGGTGGCAAAGAGGTGGGCAGTGTTTCGTTTTGCTGTACGTGGGGTCGCTGTGAGCTGGAATCGAGTCGATGGCATCTAACACCACTACCAGCCTATGTGAAACAGAATGTTCTTCCTCCTAATTTACTCGCTGCCATCAATCCTACTCATAGTGACCTCTCCTTGGGTTTCCGAGGTGGTGTCACTATGGAAATTGATTGCCCAGTCTTCCTTCCGAGAGAGAGAGAGAAAAATGGTCGTATCAGATCTTTCATATAGAGTCACTATTAAAGAAAAAAAAAAAAAAAAAAAAACACCTCTCGGGAGATCTTCAGACCTCCAAAGGCTGTGGAAATGGTGGTGTCCAACCCTATATTACCAAACCAAATGCCTCAGGCACTACGCCACCAGAGCTCCCATTATTTGGTATATTTGGTATATTGCTGATGAATGTTTAACAACTGGCTCTCCAAGTGTATTTGATATCAAGGTACCAACATGATGTCAGTGAACATAATGTTAGGAAGGGATTGTTCACAGTTGAAATTTGCAGCAGTATGAGCAAGTTCCAGCACAACATCACTTAAGTCATCAAGTCTGAAGCACACATATTATTTCCATTTGAGGGGTGGGAGAGCATGTAAGAAATAATTTGCTAAATTCTTCTATATATATAATCTGAAATCTAGCAACTACAAATTCCTATGCAAAACTATTAAAATAGAATTCTTCATCGTGGCATTAAAGCCTACCTGCATATATTGTTTTATTTTAGTATGTATATTTGAGTAAAACCATAGTTTATTTTCCAAGTCACTTCTGAACACTGATTTGGATAGGTGATATGGTGATTTCTTTATGTTAAGTAAAAAGTTAAAAACAAACCCAGCTTATACCTGGGAGGAGAGACTGAGGTTACAGGAGGAAAGCTGGAAGCATTGGCCAAGGGCCCAGGGATCTTAAGCCATGAAGGTCTTTCCTTCAGTCTTTCTAAGTGTGACCCTGAGCTGCTGAGGAGAGGCTGGTGCCTGACCCAACCCAGTGTCAGCTAGGCCCTGGATGCCTGTGGTGGCCAGATCGGCCTTCTTCCAGCTGCATCCTAGAGCCTTGGCAGCCATCTCCAAAGAGCAGAGGGAGTGTGAGGGCCCAGCTGCCCCCTCACCAGTGGAACCCTATCAGGAACCCCACACATAGTACGCCCAAGCTGGTCTCACTTCCATCCCACATCCAACCCTCCCTCTACCCTCTGGAACTCAAGCACCCCACCCCTCCGCTGACTCCAGAACCTCCAAGGACCCCCAGGCCTGGTGTGGGCTATGCTGCTTTTGAGCCTCCATCCTGCAGTGTTCCTCCGTGCTCCTCCTGCTGACCCTAAATTCCCAGCTCTATGTCCTCTTGGGGGCACCTCATGCGCCAGACTCCTTGCCTTCCCCCATGCCTAGTGCCCTTCCTCCTCTCACCCTCCTGTGAATTCACCACATCCAGGTGGGAGACCCCTGGTAGATCTTCGTCTCTGCCCTCAGGTCTTTTCTGACTACATCCTCAGCCTCCCTCCCCCACCCGAGTGCAAGCTGCGATGGCCACATTCCAGAACCTTCCCTTCCCTTCCTCTGTGGGCCTCACTTGCACTCTCAGCCAGTGCCTCCTTTTAGAGCAGTCTCACCTGCCCTCCCAGCTAATGCCTGAGACCCTCTCCTGGAACTGCATCCCCCACCCACGCACGGGTTCCCGTCTCTCCGGACACCACTCCAGGAAGCCCCTATCCGGTAGCACATGTCCTGCTAGGCAAACCCCTCGCCCAGAAGCTCCTTACCTCCCACCTCGGAACCCCCCCAGCTCTGACCCGGCTGCGTCCCTCACCTACCCGTGGCCTCCACAGGGCTCGATCACCGTTACCATGTTCCCTCGGCCCCTAAGTATGGTCCAGTGTCCCTTGCCTCACTCTGCTACGTGTGACCACACCCCACACACACAACCCTTCCCTGCGACATCGCACCCCCTCCTCGCTCCAGATAAAAACGGTTCGACACCTCCATCCAGGTCGGGCCACTCCGACCTCTCCGAGGACCCAACAACGGCGTGTGTGGAGCGTCCTGTCCGGCGGGAGTCACCTGCCACCTGCTGCCCAAACCAGCCCATAAACCGACTCCCCCAAGCACACCTCTCCGCCTGCCCCCTGACGCAGTGCACCCGCGAGAGCCCCTCACCGGACAAGGGAGCCCTGTCCCAACAAGAAGGCCTCTCGCCAACTGGGGGCAGTCTGGAGCCCCGCGAGTCCCCAGAAAGGATGGCCGTGGCCGGACACATTCTGAACTTTTCCGTGCCTCTACTGTCGCTCAAAGGGCGGTGCTGTCGGCCGGGAGCCCTCAGTGAGGTCAGGAGACTGCACCACACTCTCAGGGCCACGTCCCTGTCCCCACGACGACAACGCGCCCCCGCGCAGACACGGTGCGAGCCCATACCCTCGGGATTAAGAAGACGCGGCCTCTCCAGTGCGCCTGCGCATATTCCAGGCAGCGGAGGCAGGGCTGGGAGCGTCCGCGGGCCGACTACACATCCCAGCGTGCACTGCGTCCAAGAGTTCCGGGCACCCGCCCCGGAAGATAAGGCGGCTCGTGGTTGCCGCGTTTCCTCTTTCAGCTGCGTCTGCGAGGAGGTAAGACGTGATGGCGGGGCTGTAGTGTTGGCGCCATCCGCCGCCATCCGTCGCCCGGTGGCCCGCGGGGATCTCTTCCGGCTCTCCTTGTGGCGGGCACGGCCCGGCTAGAGCCGCGGGTCTGGCCAGGGCAGGGGTGTGGGGGCCTGGGAAGCGGGGCTGGCGGGGATGCCTGCCATATCCGCACGCTGATCGTGGACGCCCCCTAGACTCTCCGCCATGGGTCGCGTAATTCGTGGGCAGAGGAAGGGCGCTGGTTCCGTGTTCCGCGCGCACGTGAAGCACCGAAAGGGCGCCGCCCGATTGCGCGCCGTGGATTTCGCCGAGCGACACGGCTACATCAAGGGCATCGTGAAGGTGCGGAGCGCCGGGCGGGGAGGGGTTGGGGGCGGGATGGCCCGCCGGGCCCCGGAGGTGACGCCGTGTCGGCTCGCAGGACATCATTCACGATCCAGGCCGCGGCGCGCCCCTCGCCAAGGTGGTCTTCCGCGACCCGTACCGGTTTAAGAAGCGGACAGAGCTGTTCATCGCAGCAGAGGGCATCCACACGGGGCAGTTCGTGTACTGCGGCAAGAAGGGTGAGCCTTGCGCTTCCGGAGGCTGGCGTCGGGTGGGGATACGGCGGCTGTCGGAGGCTCCTGGGCAGTGGCCTTACCTGGGGACGGCTGCGTGGCCACAAGGGACCCACGACGGTACCCGGAGGGCCGCTCTTAACCCCATGAGGGTTGTCTGCAGCGAGTGGGTGTGCGCGGCTTCCGTGCTCGGTGCTGTGCTGACAGCGCCGCTGGCTTTCGCAGCCCAGCTCAACATCGGCAATGTGCTCCCGGTGGGCACCATGCCTGAAGGCACCATCGTGTGCTGTCTGGAGGAGGAACCCGGGGACCGGGGCAGGCTGGCCCGAGCCTCGGGGAACTACGCCACCGTCATCTCCCACAACCCCGAGACCAAGAAGACCCGCGTGAAGCTGCCCTCCGGCTCCAAGAAGGTCATCTCCTCAGCCAACAGAGCCGTGGTTGGTGAGTGGCGGGCAGCTAGTGGGTATTGATGGGTGTCAGGCCGTCACCGGCCGGTGGCTGGTCCCCACGGCATGTTCTGTGATCTTTGGGCTCTGGTCGCTGTAGTACCTTCAGTGGTCTTGCGTAGCTTGTAAAGTCGGGCATAATGTATGCTTAACACTTGGGTGAGTGTTAGCTGAGATGGTGAGAGTTACCAGGAGATGATGTCTGCAGTGTGTGTGACTGGACTGACGGGATCCAGTTTCTTAGAAGGGAGCTTCAGAGATAGAAGTAAGTCCAAAGAGGATTTGAATGCAGGTTTGTTTGTTTGCTTTGTTACTTGTCAACAACTTGGAATCCCTGTGCCATATCATCCCTGGGCAGCCTGCGCTGTGGCACCTGTTGTGTGTGTATGTGTGTGGGGGGTTGGAGGCTGAGTAATCTGCCTTGAAGGGTGAGTGCTCAGAATGAAAACTTACCACCCCAGCTGATGGCAGGTGAGGGCCATCTTGGGGAGCTGGAGGACACATGACTGTTCTCTCACAGGCTGTAAGGGATTCTGTGGGACAGAAGTTTGAATGGGGTTGATTTGTTCCTTCACGGTAGTTAGAGTTAGTGAGGCTTTGGGGACAGCATGTGAGTGTACAAAGAGGGGGATTTTTGCAGGGGACTGGGGGCTGGTAAGAAATCAGAAGAGGGGGCTGTTGGAGAAGATGATGTCCTGCGTTCGTGTGTGTCCCTGAGGTGCCCACTCTTCCAACAGGTGTGGTGGCTGGTGGTGGTCGCATTGACAAGCCCATCTTGAAGGCCGGCCGTGCCTACCACAAGTATAAGGCCAAGAGGAACTGCTGGCCACGTGTACGGGGTGTGGCCATGAATGTGAGTAGCCCAGAAATAGGGGTGGGAATTCAAGGTGCAGGGCCCAAGTGACTGGGTGGATTGTCTTCCAGCAACGTCCCTCCCCCACTGTAGGGGGATACAAGGGGGTGCAGTGATGTGCTGGTTTATAGTTGTAATCATAGGCCCATCCGTTGTCTGTCCTGCTCCAGAGCTCTGGTAAATACGTCACCCACACTAACACGACTGTTTTCTTCTGCAGCCTGTGGAACATCCCTTTGGAGGTGGCAACCACCAGCATATTGGCAAGCCCTCCACTATCCGCAGGGATGCCCCTGCTGGCCGCAAAGTGGGTCTCATTGCTGCTCGCCGGACTGGGCGACTCAGGGGAACCAAGACTGTACAGGAGAAAGAGAACTAGGGCTGGAGACTCAATAAAGCTCATCTTCCCGTCGTTGAGCTGTGTACCTGTGAATTACGCGGCCCATGGCGGAGAGTCTAGGGGGCGTCCACGATCAGCGTGCGGATATGGCAGGCATCCCCGCCAGCCCTGTTTCTGTGAGTTCAGAGTGAAGGATCTCTGCAGGGAGGACCCTGTCGAGGGGCTGGGCTGCAGTGTTAGCTGTGGAACAGAGAAGAGGCACCATTGAGTGGTGGAATCTACTGCAAGAGCCAGGGGCTTGTTGGGTGGGGGCAAGAACTCAGCTTCCTGGGTGAAGTGCTCTGGTCTGAGGGGAGTTTTGCAAGTGAGTGAAGTGAGTGCACGGAACTCAGATTTGATCCCCAGTGTGTGGAGACATCCCACTCCCTGGATTTGATCCCCATTGTGTGGAGATGTTCCACTGTCCTGGGGGTGCCTGGTTTGCAAGTGTCAACATGGCAGTGTTTAGGGCCCACGACTGGGCTGAGCACTGGAAATCTGAGCAGAGTGCTCTTGGGATGTGGCAGTTGCTGCCTTTGGTGAAAAGGGGGAGGAGGGTGATGCCCTCCACAGTCAGGGTGGCCAGGCCTGACTCGCCTCTTCATTGCCAGGAACAGGTTGGAGGGCAGTCCCCTTCTCTGGATTAGGCTACCTCATGTTCCCTGCCTCTTCCTGTAACCCAGAAGGAAAAGAAGAGGTTAAATGGTGATTCTGGGTGTAGGTCTTTGGAGAACTTCTGGGGAATAAATTGTGCTGAGCTTGGGGTCATGCAGTAGCCTCTGGGACCCCATCATGGCTTTGGGACACCCCTGAGTAACCAGGGCTCAGGAAAGCCTCAGGTGGACACAGCTGACTAAAGAAAGGATCCTGACTGCTGGCTGGGCTACTCCTCCCGCAGGAACCTGGACGTTGCCCCACCTGATTGGTCTCCAGGTCCATCTTCTATTGAATCTTCCCTAGCACAGGCTCTTACCTTGGACATCCTGGCACAGTGCAGTCCTGACCGTGAGCTCCAGCACCTGCACAAAGGAGTCAGTCCCTCTAGGAATCCCAGTATCCCACCACAAGCATGGGCACAGGGTCTTCACCGTGACTACCCACCAAGGGATGGAGGTGGAGGGTATGTGGTGCAGCCTCTGCCCTGGAGAGGTCTTAACCACAGTAGATCCTGCCAGTTTCCACGACCGCTGGCCTGAGCACCGTCCCAGGCCACCTGTCCCACCCGCAGAACACGGGTTGGTTAAAGCCCAGCAGGGCAAACGCTGCTCGGCAGGTGGGAGCCGGAGGGATGTGTCCTTTCCAGAGGCCACGCCGCAGCACTTAACCTCCTGGCCATTTAGAGCCAGCGCAGCTGTAGGCCACTGTCCCTAACTACACACAGCCCACAAAGGACAGCCTTGTGCAGGACGGAGGGACCTCTCCTGGTGGGGTCCCTGTGGCCCAGCACCACTTCCTTGTGTATGAGAACTGGCTATTGGCTGTCCCAAGGGGTTGTGGGGTTCACAGGTGGGGCTGCTCCTGGGTGGCAAGGCCGTGCTATAGCTGGCAGGCAGGTTCCCAGTCATGGCCCATGCCCACTACCTGTTTGAACCTCACCCCCATTTCTTGGTCTGGTCTTTGGGGCCCAGTCTTGGTCCCATTTGTTGTCCACAGGGCAACTCCACAGTCATCAGATCATATCCTAAAGAATGAGAGTAGGGAGGGCAGGTGCAGCACTTGCTCCCAAACATGAAGGGATTTCTGGAAGGAGCATGAAATGGTTGCCTTGGCCGTGGGTGGATTACCCAATAAGTAAGGTAAGCACAGTCTTGAGTTTACTAATCTGTAGTCAACAATTTCACATAGGTTTCACTACAAAATGTGAAATTGTTCACTACAGAACAGTAAATTAACCCATGCTTACCTTGCTTATAAGGAGCTCTTGTGGTACAGTGTTTAAGGCATACTTGGCTGCTAACCAGAAGGTCAGTGCTTCAAACCCACCAACTGCTCCGTGGGTAGTTGGGGCAATCTATGTCCATAAAGATTTACCACCTTGGAAACCCAAAGGGGGTCGCTATGAGTTGGAATTGACTCAGTGGCAGTGAGTTTGGTTTGGTTTTGGTTTTACCTTGCTTATTGGGTATTCCATTTCTGCCAGGGATTATAAATTTGAAAAGGCCTTGATTCTGTAGGAAGGTGCTATGGGGTTGGGAGAGAGACAGATGCCAGCCATACCTAGAAAGAGAATCTCTGATGTGAAAAACTGAAATTACTCACTACAGATTAGCAGGTAAGCACAAGTAACCCTACTTACCTCATTTATTGGATGAGCCAATACTGGCCTTGGCCATGAGCTGCTGCTATTCCCTTCTGGGCAAAATGGGCTGAGTTTTTGGCCACAGGATATGTCTGGGAGGGAAGCCATCAGGAAAGGCTTCAGGAGAGAGGACAGTGCATGGCCTGGATGCAGATGATGCAAGCCTTGGAAGCGTTTGCCTGGCATGTTTGGATGGAGCGTTTTCCCTTCTGGGTATAAAACTCAGGTGCACTCACCATGGCTAACAAATTCATTAACCTAAGGGAACTGAAGGACCCCTTCTGAGCTCCAGGCCTAATTTGTTTTCATAATTTTGTATTTTCTTAAAGAACCACCAAGTTTATAGCTATAGGCCCTGCAAAACCTGGCTCCTCACCTTTTGGAAAACATGGAAGAGTTCATGGAAGACACTAGGATCCCACATAATCCCCAAGGTGACCACTGCCGACATTTTGCTGTCTGTATGGTCTGTTTTCTACACAACTCTACCCTGTGTGTCTCAATTCCTCAGCCAGTTGACAGGTCAATTGATTCCCACTTATTTCTCTGACTCTTTGACCATGTGAATCGATCTCCTCTCTTGGGGTTGCAGAAAACAGAAGCATCAACCCTAAATGTTATTAGGTACAGTCGAGTTGGCTCTGACTCATAGCGACTCTGTACAACCGAACAAAACAGTGCCTGGTCTTGTGCCAGCCTCACAATCCTTGCTATACCTGAGCCCATTGTTGCAGCCACTGTGTCAATCCCTTTTTTTTTTTTTGCTAACCCTCCACTTTACCAAGCATGATATGCTGCTCCAGGGAATGGTCCCTTTTGACAACATGACCAAAGTAGGTGAGATGAAGTCTGGCCATTCTCTCATCCAAGGAGCATCTCAGCTGCACTTCTTCCAGGACAGATTGTTCATTCTTCTGGCAGATAGTATTTTCGGTATTTTTTGGCAACACCACAACTCAAAAGCATCAATTTTTCTTTGGTCTTCCTTATTCATTGTTCAGCTTTCACATGCGTATGAGGCAATTGAAAACACCATGGCTTAGGTAAGGTGGACCTTAGTTTCAAAGAGACATCTTTGCTCTTCGGAACGAGGTCTTTTGCAGCAGGTTTGCCCAGTGCAATGCATCATCCGATCTCGACTGCTGCTTCTGCTGGTGTTGATTGTGGAACCAAGCAATATGAAATCTTCAGAAACTTCAATCTTCTCTTCATTTATTGTGATGGGTATTGGTCCAGTTGTGAGGATTTTTGTTTTCTTTATGTTGAGATGTGATCCATACTGCAGACTGTAGTCTTTAATCTTCATCAGTAAGTGCTTCAAGTAATCTTCACTTTCAGCAAGCAAGGTTACGTCATTTGTGTATCACAACCCAAATAGTTGTCATCTAATCCAAAATGATAGCTAGGATTTCCCCAAACAGGAGAGAGAGCAAGAATAATTGTGGATAGGACGCGGTGACTGAGCATTCATGTGGCTCCTTGCAGTTCCAGCCATTCAGGTGGCTCTCCTGGCTATGCTGCTGCCAGGGTCACAGGGCAGGGCCCACTGTCTTCCAAGTACAGTCAGAAGGGCTTGCAGGGCCTGCCAAGTTTGGCTCAGCATTCTCTCTTCAGACGTGGGCACTACCCTTCGTGGCAGCCCTGGACTGGTCTTGGTGGGTGCCCTGCAGGACTTCCTAGACACCAGCAAGCAGGGGCCCCCCTGTGGCTGGACTAGGGTGCGTTAGAAAGACAAGCCGGCTGCCCATGAAACGTTTAGGATGCTTTGAAGGTAAGAGCCTGGAATGGACCTGGGCTCGACAGCAGGCTCCTCAGACTTCTCTGTAGTTTTGAGTGGACACGGGGCCCATTTATAGGGGTCAGGTGGGAGGAATGCGTTAAATCCTAAAACAGCCTTCTTGGACCAGGAAGTATCCTTTTAACATCTCTGGGTGAGCATAGCACTCGAAGGATGGGTGAGGTTCTGCAGGGCTTAATCCTGTTAGCTGAACTGTCTGACATTAGCTGCTCACACGGGAGAGATCTTCCTCGACAAAGAAATGCTGTAACTCGTTACTCCTCAAAGAGCTCTGGTGGCGTAGTGCCTAAGGCACTTGACTGATAACCAGGAGGCTGGAGGTTCAAACCCCCCCGCCACTCCTCGGAAGGAAAGTTGGGCAATATACTTTGTAGTGATACCGTTACTCTTCAAGATGGACACCCAAGCCTTTGCTCCAATCTCTCTGGCAAGTCAGGATCATGGCTCCAGACGGCCACCTGATGGCAGTGTCCCGATTTACTGGATTGCGTTTACGGTTCTGGGGAGGAAAGCATTGTGTACCAGAACCGCCGACCACCGAGACACGGAGTTCTGCGTCCCAGACCAGGCGGAGCGGCACCTGTAGCCAGGACAGGGGCGGAGTGGGGTTTGGCTTGAGCGTCACTTCCGGTTCGATTCCGATTGGCAGGGCGGGCGGGGACTGGTCGGACAGCCGCTCCTCTGCGGCGCTGAGGTGAGTGCGGTCCCGACCCGGGCGGTGGCGGCGGTGTCTCCCCGGGCGACCCGTCCCGAACACCTCCCCTCCCCCATACTCTGGCCACAGGGTTCTCCCGACATCTTGCTCCCCCCGAGTAGTTCCCTGTCGCTTGCTGGTCCTTCCCATAGGTCCTATCCCCCGCTCTGGGGTAACCCCCGGCAGATCCCGTGCCTCACTCAGGGTCTCCCCAAGGAGATGGTTCCGCGCCCGAGGATGTCCCGGATCCTTTTCCTGTCGCCTGGTGGGCCGACGCTCTCCCCGAGTCGTTAGTACCTGTCTTCCACACTGGCCCCCACTCCAAAAGCCCAGTCTGCAAAATGGG